AGAATTGGAACTCAATGGAGTGTTAGAAGAAATTGAAAGCGCTAGACGGACATTGAAAGAACTGCAAGATCGTCGAAACGTTCGAGTTTTTCTACCCCATGAACCGTTGCACTTTCGGGATGAAGAACCTCATACGCCTACCAGAAATAATCAGCTTTTATCACCACTAACCATTGAAACTGCAATAGATTTTAGGTTAGTTCTGTCCTTTACATATGTTCTGCTTCAGTATAACACCTCTAATTTTAGCCGTTGTTCTATCACAACGTTTATGCCCCTGTACATATTTAACCTCACCGTTTTATCTTCTACTATGATTGGTTTCAAAGATGAGCTTGCATTGCAAGGAATCATCGTTAACAATCCTGCCAATGCTTGTATATCAGTAGGTTTGCAGATGTAAGTAGAGGTACATTATTTGATGTACTGCCTTTCAGATTATTCTAACTAAAGGATCACCAGAAATATCGCCCATTTTATTGAATTCTGGCCGTAACACGGTTATTATGAACTTTGGAAAGCCATTCAGCATAACTGACTCTTTTGCTATAATGGTGCAGCAGTTCAACACAAATATTGTCAGGTACATTTTAGTTTTTCGCACTTTTACTTCCTTTTTGACATCTGGCTTACAAATTAATTACTTCTGATAATTCAAGGCGAGAATTGTAGGCCTGCCGATTACAATTTATATCTCGATGTACCAGCATATAAACCTTCTGCCTGGAAAGACCTGCCTAATTTACTACCTTATTCCCGCAAGGTGCGTTCAGAGTTTGATTTGATGGAGGGACTTTTTGAAGTTAGCTTTCTCTTGTAGCTTAAAACTTTTGATTACCCAATCATGATTGGATCCGTCATGCTCTATTGTAGCGTAAGGAAATCCGCTTCTGCAAAATAGCCAAAAATAGATCTTTTAAGTTGTGACATAATTTTACTTGGCATTTTTCCAACTTTTTCTTAGGCACCTTTGTTGTAACCTATGTAACATTGTTCAAAAGCATCCCTTGTACATAAGCTTTATTCTCCCTCATCATATTATAACTTTCGATGCTCATAGCGAAATGTCTCGGCAAATAACGGTATTATTTCATGAATGACCATAATCCTACGGATCATTTGAAAAGCTTTACCATCAATCAACAACAGCATTTGTTATTGCTCAGGAACTCCCATTCTTAAGTAAAATTTGTCATTGAATAGCAAGACCTCCTCTTGAGGAAGCCATTCGGCCAAATTTTGAAAGACCTTGTCATTGTAGGTTATACTTCGTTTAGAATTACAGTAGTCAGCAGAGATGAAAACTCTTTGGAAAAGTCTGAAGTAGCGGAAAAGCTGTTGAACCCCTCTTCAAAGGTCTTTCATCTCGGCCGATCCAACTATGTGTGAAGTATCTCGTAGACCAATAATCAAACTTAGTGATCCAGTTTTTGCTTATACAGAACAGAAAAAAGGCTTTCAAAACAGATCAAAATTATGGGAAGGTTTATGAAAATAAATTTCAGAAACACGTAAAATATGTAGCAAACCAATATTTTGCTTGGATTTCTGTTTGTTACTTTTGCTTATTTGCAGTTCTTTCTTTTCGTCTTTGTCCCATCTGAAGCAAGTGATCTGTATTCATACTTATCGAATGATCTTTCTCATCTCAATGCCTCAGCCCTGTCTTCAGGAGACAACGTGAAGATATTGAATTGTTCTAGCTCTTTTTATAATGCATCATGTGATTCTGAAGATGAATTAGGTACTTTTTAAAGTTTCTTGTCCTGCAACCTCGAGAATTTCCAATTTTCAGGAGACATTGCTCGAAGTTCAACGTTTTGCGTCTTTTTGAGCCGTAATGACCATACTCGCTTTTTTTGGAAGTCGTTACGATTTGGGTGCATTCCGGTAATACCTTCACTGGATATTCCGCTTCCCTTTCAAGGTACTAAATGAAACACTGCTTTTTTTGTTCATAATTATACATATTTTCAGACCACATTGATTGGCGACGGGCATCAGTTCGCATCCCCTTGGCTCGATTTCCCGAACTTCATTTCATTCTGCGCTCTTTCGAAATGGCAGAAGTCCTAGAATTAAGGAGAATGGGCCGATTTTACTTTGAGC